CAATATTTAGTTTCTATTTTTTTTAAGTTAGTTCGCATTTTATTTGATATTATCACTTACGAGATACTATTAAAGACCGACATCCTTACGGGAGTTCGTGTCCTTGTGAATATTGTAAGTAATTAAGAGTTAAAAACTGATAATATTGTACTAAGTTTATGATTTATTAGTTTAGTAGAACTTTTTATTTATGCATTTAGAACTCAACAATACTCGATTTTTCTTTAAAATTATAATTTCAGTATTATCGTCAAATGATTTTTTTATTATCAACAGAGATGATAACTGCAGAGAAAAAATTGTAATTTTTTTCTGCAATATATAGGATATTATAGCTTTACAAGTATGCATATTTATTTATGGAACATTTATGTAATAAAAAAATCATGAATTTAATAATGTATGAGTCAAATATTTATTTGTTAATAATAACAAATTTATATCAATTATCAATAATGTCAGCATTCTTCAATTACCTCCGGGCCCTTGGGACCCTTTTTATACCGCCGAAAATTTTTCGATCTTTAATAGTATATCGTCGGTGATATTACGGACAGATGATAACCGTGCGATATTACCGACAATTCAATTGGTACTTTCTTGTTATTCGATTGGCACAAGGCACGTTCTCGCCCGTTGGCTGCACTGGCCGTTTCAAACCTGTTACCGTCTCGCGCATGCGCGCCCGGCGCGCCGTTCGGCGCTTCTCGGCGCGGCGCACATTTCGTTCCACCGGTTTCACTTCCACGCTACAGTGCTACAGTCAGTGCGTCTCGCGCCGACAGAGAGGTCGGTGTTTTTCCCGGAGTGTCTCGCGATACGATCCGTTACTCATTCGTCGTCGATTCGGTGCCACGAGGAATACACGCCGGTCTGTCGTGTCCGAAAACGCGATTGCGAGGGGAAACGCGTTCGCGAATGCAAGAACCGCGTCAGTGTCGTCGCGTCAATCCCGTCGCCGGCAACGACAACACGTTATCGTCGCGAATTACAGTGTCGAGATCATAGCGTGTGTTTCTCCGTCTCCGTCTTTCTCCGCTTCTCGTTCACACATTCATCTCTCCCGCTCGCAGATTTCGTTTCCGCGCGCAGGAGCAGGTAGGAGGACGACGTCGCGTCGCCGCGAGAATAACGAGTACCATGACGACTCTGTGGATTGTCGCCGTCGCGACGGTCGTCGTCGCGACGACGACGGTGAACGCCGCCGGGCTCAAGTGCGACAGTGTCAGGCCGATCTTCGAGGCACAGGGCTTCCCGCTCAGCGACATCCCGAAGGAGGCGATTTCATGTGAGTCTTTTTCAGCACTCTTTTTTTTTTTTTATGAAAATCATGCGGTTTGTTTTTTTTTTTTTGCTACACTTTCTGAACTTGTACACACAGTGTAAGAAGTTAAAGTGAAACAAGTTCGCGTTTGTTTCACTTCAATTTATTGCGGTTCAGAGTACAGCAATAAAAATCAGATCTACATTCTCCGCGTAATCTTGTATTTGTATCCTGCGTCGCGTCAAGTGTGGTGCGTTTCTTTTCTATTGAAGCAAATAATATTATATATCGAACTATCCTTAGACCTAGTTCCACAAACGTAAGTTTAACTTTAACTTGGGTGTAACTTACTATTCATCTTTTTCCAATTCTGAGAAAAATGTTTAGTATTCGTAATTATAATTGCATGGCTAAATAACTATAATTTGGAGCTCCATTTTTATGATTAAGTATTATAGTGTTAGTAATAATTAACCATATATGACAGTTCTCTTAAATGTGAAACAAATGTGCTGTAATGATAATTTCAAATTAATATAGTAAGACATAAATCAAGAGATAAAGAGTAAATAAAATAAATATTTTTATTCAGTAACTGTAGTTGTGTAATTATAGTTAAATTATGGTAATTATGGTAGGAATTTAGTACTGGATAATAGTGATTAACTTATTTTGAGTATTAAAAATAAACAGTAGTGCTTTCTATATTCAAAATAAGTAATTAAAAGCATTTTTACATGAAGCAGCTTCTTCTAAGAAAGTTCTAAGGCCGAGAGTTCAGAGAACATCTTACATTTCATCTATAACAATTGTTCAGTGCTTTTAAGTCTAATCTGTAATATAAGTTTTGCTCTTTTGCTTCTTGTTTCTTGCTTTTTATCTCTTTTTCACTCCAAGAGAAGTCGTAAAGAAGACATCTTACGTTTTATCTACAATTGTTATTCAGTACTTTTGAGTCTAATTTACAATATGCTCTTTTTCTGTTTTCTTTTTCTGTTTTACCTCTTATCCTGTTCTTTCTTTACAACTATTTTATTGACAAATGTTTCTTGTTTCTTTATCAACTTTTATCTCGAACGACGGAATACGAAGAAGCAAGATAAGAGATAAAAAGTACTAAAAAGCAAAAAGTAGGAAGCAAAGATCATATTGTAGATTAGCATACAAATATTTTGTAAAAGCCATAAACAGTGTTTAACATTCAAAATAAATAATTAATCATTATCTTACAGCGTCAAGTCGACCTTCGACTAAAGCATTGAGCAACAATCCATTGATCTAATTACATATTAATCACTTATTTTGAATATCAAAAGCTCTTTCGCACTCCATACAGTACAGAAGTTTGCAGCAACGTTTACAATGGCCACTTTCAGCAAAATGTTTGTTTTACAACTGTTCACTGTTTAATTTATAACGTGAAATTATACCCAATTTGAGTCCTTTTTAATCATTTCTGTGGGTCGCCACTACTTCCACTTAATACGTCGTTAATTTAATTAAAATAATGCAGTCTAAATAATTTAATTCAAAAGAATGCAATAAATTTGACCTAAATTTTTTAGTATTAATTTTTTATTATTATTTACTAAATGTATTAAATTTACTTACTTATTAAATACGTTAATGGATGTTGCTTACTTTGAAACTAAGCATAGAAATGGATTGATTTTGACACACATGGAAGTTAAAAATAACAAAATGTTATTTAACTCGAAAGATTGGGTTGCCATTGCTCCTTTTGATATCTAACAGTGTTGGAAGTTTTCTTTGCGCTAATTGGATTATACTTTTAAATCCAGAGAGACAGTCTCTATCACAGCGAAGAAAACAACTTCCAACAGTTACAAACTGAATATTCCGACGAACTCGGCCAACGTTATCGCAATATTGCTGGAACGTTATAATATTGTTAAAATATTGCTGGAATAATCTATACTATACGGGATTTTAAATACTCAAAATAAGTATAATAATTAATCACTACGTTTCAGTATTAAATTGGATTTCTGTAAGAGTAATGAAAAGAGGCGAGGAGGAGGAGGAGAAAAATTTATTGTCAAAAGTGGAATTTCCGTCTGATAGCAAAAGATCTCACTCGGTTCCGATCTTCACGTAGAAGCTGCACAGCCGCATTAAGCGCTTAATGTACAGGATGTGAATGAAAGATGCATTTAGGGGACTGATTTGTTTAGCGATGCTCCTTATGGCCGAACGGTCGGAGCTCGTAAAACGACGAACTCTTGATATCCGCAGTTAACGAATTCACGTCAGTCTTAATTCACTCTCTGGGAGATGAGATCGTATTTTATAGGTATTAAGCGCGCTAAACTTTTCGGATAAGTTTGGATGAGTTGTATGCAGACGTTCTTACACTTTAATCAATACGAACCTGATTTATCGATGTAGATCTTACGGTTATTAGGTCGCATTATCTTATTATCGCGATTTTGATCTAGTTCCATAATAGAACGATTAACGAGATGTGTCAAGTAACCTTAGATTTTTGAATTCGCAGCTTGATTGGGAATTTTAAATAGCTTGAATTAATTAATACGGGAATAGTCACTTGATTCTTTTTTTAAGTAAACGATTATCTGGGGTTTTTATACCCCAATGAAAAATCATTATTATTATAACAACAAATTGGATATTATTGATTGTTAATGCTAATTAATAAAGGAACGTAAAGCCAAATGCAAGATCAAATTATCTTATCTTTTTATTGATTGATTGTTTTCCGATTTATTTAGTTTTAAGAACATTATATGGATATTAAATTTATTTATAATTTTCTGGAGAAAAGTAAGTAGAAATCAGTATACGAAATAAACACATTAAATAGCTAAATATAAGTATTGAAAAAAAAAAGATTAATTAATATAATTTCTTATTTCGGGTTTTCGATGGAATGTACGTTTATTTAAATTTGTAAAGAATAATATACTTTGATTATAAATTGAAATCAGACCGACGAGAATAAATCAGTTAATAGAAATAATCTTATTTTCGGTAAAAACGGATTTTAGTAAACTGAAGCTGAGATTAATATCTTTAATTAGATTGTTCATCCATTTTAATAGTGAAGTTATAATAAGCATGAAAATTTTATGAATAATTATTTATTGCTAAAAATGTTAATACCTCAGTCAAAATATGAACTTGGAACTTTCGACTTTCGTAAAAAAGAGTTATTAAAAAGGAATGAAAATATCTTGTAGCAATATCTAGCATTTTAAATTTTATTGCCGCTAGGATATAAAAACAGCTCAGATGACAATTCTCGGGTTAAAGCGGGCGTCTCGACGAGATATCGGAAGAAGTTTCTAAAAAACGCTCTGAAATCAAGCGAAACGTATCTTCCTTTACATAGGAAATATATTATTTCTCGCGAATTTCTTTATCGCTGTAGACTTTCTTTATCGCGTAACGCGGGGCGATAAAAATGGGGTGTCGCGGAGACGCGGCTAACCGTGGAAATTGAGAGCTGCTCGTAATGTGATACACGACGCGCCCCTGCAATTCGTTATCCCGCAAAAATAACCGTGGCGATACATAGAGCAGCCGTGCATCGCAAAGGGGAAGAAAAAAGGAGAGTCGGCGACTGCTTTTAAGACTTCCCAGAATCCGGTTCGCCGCGAATGCGAGGGAGTTTTCTGGCGAGCTCTTTCTCTTTCGCTCGACCGGAGCGAAATTGATTCCGGCTCTTCCTCGATTCGTCCCGAAAATTCGATTTTAATTACAAGATCGACGCGCGATGATTGGGACATCAAAGTTGAATTTATTCACTGGAACGAGCGGCTGAACGTTCGTCTGTCATATCAAACGGGTTTGGCCTTTCGGTGACTCTGAAATCCTCACCGAGTGCGATTGGCCGATCGCAAGATGAACGTCGAATCACTTTACTTCCTCTTTCTTTCCCTATTCACACAAATTTTGTGTCGATAATCCACGTGGAAGTATCGAATTCCTTTTTTTCTACATGGATTTTCCTCTCTAATTATAATAATCTGAGTAAATTGTAATATACCGACTGGATGAAGAGAGCCTAACAGGAAGCTATAAATTGTGTACAATTACAGCCGTCTGATCCTAAAATACTTCACAAGATTAACTCGACTCTTTTCGATAATAAATCTCTAGCGAAAATTATTAAGTCGCATGTTCCGACAATGATGAGAATAATAGATCAGTTATTGGGTTCAAAGCCCTATGCTTCAATTAGGAGAGGATTGAAAGTTACATTGAAAAACAAACTATATTTTAATAAATATTTGTTTGAATATTTCTAAGTAAATATCTGCTAAACATGTTTATTTGCTACAAGAAGCATTAATTAGAAAAAAATTAAATAATTAGAAAGGCAAAAAAACACGAGCGATGTTTATTATATGTTTAAAAATAAACTAGTTTATTACAATGTACATTAAGAATAATAAACTAGTTTACTTTTAAACATCCAATAAACGTTGCTCGTGTTTTTCGACCTTTCTAATTATTAATTTTTGCTTAGCAGTCTCGAGCTAGAAAATTTACATATTTTAACCATTAATTTGATTTAACTATCATTTTTTATTGAGTAAATATTTATTTAATTATACGTTCCTTTCATTTATATATATTTTATATTTTATATTGTAAGTTCGTATCCGAATTTTGTTAACATTGAAAATGACCCGTCCGATATGAAACGTTTGTTTTTGTTGATGATTTAACTATTTATAAAAATTTATAAAAACTTTTATATTAGGCTTGTAGTCCTCTTTTATCTTATTATTTAAATATTTATTTAATATAATATAAGTAAATGTTTAAATGTTAATCAGTACTATTCAAAGAAACGTGTATTAAAATTTAGTAAATTTTTTCAGTGTATACATAATTATTGAATTATGGTGTCCAGATACACCGAATTATATAAGTATTATGTAAGTTTCACGACATTTAAGCATTTCAAAAAAAATATTCACATCCTATTGCTTGTACGTCGAGTTTCGCGATCGACGATTGCGATCACGCCTTAC